AAAACGTCGCCAAACGCCCCGTCGCAAGGTCTGCGACGAAAAGTCATTTGCGACGCCAAGTTTGGCGACGAATTACATAAATCGTCGCAACATTCGTATTTTCCGAAAAAAAAAATGTTTTTTTCAATGTTCGCGACGGATCCTATACTTTCATCGCTTACCAGTTGCGACGAACAACTAATAAGTTGCAACCCTTTGCGACGAATAATATGTTCATCGCCACATTAAGCGACGTTTTGTGATGATTTATCGCTACGTTTGCGAAAATGTTTGCGACTAATAGCCGTTTTCGTCGCAAGTCCCACGAGTTATTTGCGACGATTTGTTTTATTTATTCGTCCCTAGTTACTACAGTTTTTGTTTGCGACTATTTTGTATTTTAGTTGCAAGTTCTTTTTTTTTATATATATATATAAATTTTGGTTCACTTATTTTTTCAATTAACAAATTCAACCAGCAGTTGTACAAAAAAAACACTTATATCAAAAATATTAAAACCAATTATACGGATTAAATAACAAGGTAGCACAAAACATAAATTAAAAAAGTACATGAAAACGTAAAAGCATATAATGTAGTGTTTCAAACTTTAATTCAAAAACCAAACAAAGTTCATCCCTTTTTATACTCCACCATCATTGGAAGGAGTCGATGTCGAGGCTTGTAGTCCAAAACGGCCGACCAAGGTGTTCACAATTTCTCGGGTTTCTTTCAATTCCGCTTCCAATCTTTCCATTTTTCATCTTTAAGTTGCATTTGCTCTTTCATTGACTTCATTTCCATTTTCACTTCCGGCGGAATTGAAAAAAATCTCGACTTTGAACTCTTTGTGGTGGTTGCAATCTTAATTCCAAGCCCTTTGCTTTTTCCGAGCACTTTTTCTATCGCAGTTGAGTTGGCTGTGCTTTCGTCACTTCCATCACGCATTGTCTCATCGTACACTCGTTCCAAATCAGCCTGAAAATGATTAAGTACACTTGTTTAGCGAAAATTTCGACAGCATAACAACTAATAAATGAACATACCCAAAAAAACCATCCATGTATACAACAACTTAACATTAAATATTCATATCCACATATCTCAACTATGTACTAATTTAACATATCAAATAATTTACATATGATAAACATGCGACAACAATAAACATAAATAATTAACATACAACCACGAAACAGTTATAATTAAGGTGGTTGTTGGGGCTAAATACCTAACACGCAAGTGCACGTATCGCAAACAAGTAGTAAAAGTGGACTCGTGAGAGTCGGATGTCGATCCCACAGGGAATACTCAAATTATCTAATCCTAAGTACCAAATTCTAACAATTATGATTTTTATCCAGCCTACGCAAAGTTATCAAATTTAATCAACTAAATAATTAAACTAATTATGAAAGCAAATAAACACGAGAAAATATCAATAAAAACGGACCTAGGATTTTATCTTCCCCCTATGCAAGAATTGCTCACCCAAAACCCCTCAATTATGAAATATATGATTCATGATTATTAACCCGAGACACTAATTTACTCATAACTCGCTGTCGCGTGTATTATGAGTCTATTATTCATAAACGGTTCACTATATGTCTATGCAAACAAGTTATGATAAAGCATTAACTAACAAGTCTCGTAAATGGCTACCTAATGTGATATATGTATGTCTACGACACCACATGCAATTGACACACTCATCCGGTGAAAACTACTCGAAGGTTCTTATACTTACCGTCTAATTATCAAAATAGCTCTGTCGAGTCAATCCCAATAATCACAGATAAAGCACATAAATTGATCAAGTTCATGCACTACCAATCATAACAAGTAGAAGAAATAATCATAAAATCATAATTGCATAACCTCAAGAAAACGGGTTCACCATCCCCACATAGGGTTCCAACAAAATCCTAGATTAAAAGTTTAGCGACTTGTAATTCTTATGATAAACAAAATAGAATAAATAAAATAAATAAGAAAAACTATGCTTGAGTCTTCGTTGATCTTCGTTCTTCGCGTTTTGAGGTGTAAAATTTCGTGCTTATGGTGTAGAGACTTGTTGCTTTTATAGGCTTTTCTTGATAAGGAAGTAGTGGAAACCTAATAGGAATCAATTTCCGCCACTTTCCCCCATCAGGAATTGTTCGTCGATTTGTGCCATGTTGGAGACCGAATTTTGGAATGTTGTGTAAATACGAATTGTTGCCCTTGAAACTAGCTTTCCAATGCCGCCAAAATCACCTAATTCGGAGTTTGTATGAGAGAGATATGCTGGAAATGGTGGACAGCTGTGGCGAGATTCCTTCTTCCAATTTGATTTGTTTCCTTATTTGCAACTTTTTCCTTTCTTTTTGATCTTTTTTCCTCCGTGGACACCTAATTCTCGTTTTTCACCTTTAAAACACAAAATCAATAAATTAAAGAACAAATATAATTAAATCTAAACAAAAGATCCACGTAAAGTAAACGTATTGAGTGTAATATCTACACTTAACACACCACCAAACTTAAACATTTGCTTGTCCTCAAGCAAAATCTAATCGTAAGCAAAAACCTCAACTACTGCATCTCATCACATAGATTAATGACCAACTTCACGTTTTTAGAACTTGTAATTATAATGAAAATTCTTAGGCATTCGCAAGCTCAAAATTCAAAAGCACTTAGTCACTTACCATAGCCAAAAACCACAAATCATGGAATTGCTTCAAGAATCCAATATTTGTAAATTAAAGATAGAACAAAGTTATGCTTACATGTATATGTTTGACTCCAAATAGTCACCAAAATATTCTATTCTACTAATATCGAACATTAAGCTATTGGGGTCATTGGGGCTTTTTGGCTTTCAATTGTTAGGCTATTTGGTTCGCGGTAGGAAATATGGGTATATGTGGCTATTCTTCTTGAATTGAGATGATTACGCCGAAATTTGAAATATAAGCGTTTGAAACAATGAAGTCACCTCTAAGGACTTTAATAAACTCGATTCTAAAGAGTTCAAAAGTCTCCACTTTTGCTCTTAAGACAATGGATCGAGCTTTCAAAACAATTCAACAACTAGTCCTTACTTCTCCCATCTAGTCTCTTCTTCTTCTCTTTTTCTTTTTCTCTTTTTTTATATATATATAGACACATATATATTTTTCTTCTTTTTTTTCTCTTTTTTTTTTCTTTTTTTTTCTCTCTCTCTCTCTTTTTTTTCGCGGAAGAAGAAGAAGGACTTTATAAAAAATTTCAAGCGAGCTCCAAGGGGTAATTTTTCAAGAATCTCCATCTATTCTACCTTATACACATTGGATAAAAGAAAGAACACCTTTTCTCCGAGGCTCAAATCAAGGTTTTAAGGAAAATTTCGATAAAAAGGTCGGCTTGAAAGGCTCAAACGGATCAAAGAAGGCCCAAATCATATCCCAAATCACTCATTACTCAATACTTCGTATCATAAATTTCCTAAGGTGAGGTCTAAAACCGAACATAGCATGATCAAACACAAATTAACTCCAAATTTAAAATACAAAACATTCAACCAAAACAATGCACAAAGTGTGATTCCTAGCAATAATTCGTTTCTAAGTTCCGTTGAATCGAAAGCTAAACAAATATCTAATCGTTATCACACAAAACAATCAATCTCATCATCAAACATTGATCCCCTCATACTTTAATATGCTCCAATTTCATCATTAACTTAATTTAACCTCAATTTGACCCCAAATTTCACAAATTAATCATTTTTTACCCAAAACTTTTTTTTTCGAAAAAAAAAATCTTTTTCAAATTTTTTTTTTTGCGCCGGATTCCGGCGTTGACTTTTCAATTTTTTTTATTTTTTTTTCTTCCGGATTTTTTCGCTGGTCTCAGACGTTGACTTTTTCGATTTTTTTTTCTTTTCTTGTTGTAGCATTTTTTTTTCGTTTAAACAACAATATTGTTGTGATTGACAGTAATATTAACTATATTACTGTTAAACACAGTAAAATTAACTAAACTACAGTTTAACACAGTATTATTGCTATATTAATCTCTAGCACAGTAATATTAACACAACAAAACTCATTATTATTGTGTAATAGAGTAATATTACTATGTTGATCGTTCACCAAATGTAAACATAATAAAAAGCCAAAAGAATTAATATTACTGTGAGTGACAGTAATATTACTATAACAACAGTAATATTGCCGTCAACCACAGTAATATTACAATAATAGAGTTTAATATTATTTACGTTACTCCGTGAATAACTCAAACAAACAAAAAAATCCAAACAAAATAATAATATTGATGTGGTTGACAACAATATTACTATAACAACAGTAATATTACCATCAACCACAGTAATATTACAATAATAGACAGTAATATTATTACGTTACTCCGTGAATAACTCAAACAAAACAAAAAACCCAAAAAAATAATAATATTGATGTTGTTGACAGTAATATAATTGTGTTTAAATTTATTTACTATCAACGACAGTAATATAATTTCGGTGACTTGTCAACTAATCAAACAAAATAAAAAAAAACCAAAAAAAATCCAAACAAAATAAAAATATTGATGTGGTTGACAACAATATTACTATAACAACAGTAGTATTACCGTCAACCACACTAATATTATTGTGTTTACAGTAATATTACAATAATAGATACTAATATTATTACGTTACTCCGTGAATAACTCAAACAAAACAAAAAACCCAACAAAATAATAATATTGATGTTGTTGACAGTAATATTATTGTGTTTACAGTTATTTTACTGTCAACGACAGTAATTTTGATGGTATACGAAACACCTAATTTTGATGGTATACGAAACCCCTAATTTTGATGGTGTATGAAACCCTAATTTTGATGGTATATGAAAACCCTAATTTTAAATTTTTTTTATATGATTTTAATATCTAGTACCGTTTTTCTTTCTACGGTTCAATTTGCGACAACAAGATATCAAATTCTGTGGAGATGATGATTCAAAAATTATGTTGTAGTATTTATGTTGTTTGACCGACAGTGTGGTAAGGGAAGTTTTGTGGGCGGTGATGAAGATCGGATAAGTCGGTTACCAGGCGGCATTCTTGTCGATATTATCTATCTCCTATCGCTCAAGGAAGCAGGTCGAACAAGTATTCTTTCACCCCGTTGGAAAAACCTTTGGAAGCACACACCCTCTCTCGATTTTAATTCTCAAAGTGCATTCCGACCAAACCCGAAAAAGTTAGTGAATTGGGTGGACTCCGTTATCAAATCACACACATCTCCTACATTGAAAGATTTCAGAATCGGTTTTCCTCTAGACAGATCGTTCGGTGATTCAATCACTCGTTGGCTCGAATTCGCCTTCTCTAGAGAAGTCGAGATGTTGGAGTTGAACTTGGAGGCCTACCCGTTTCGTTACTGTTGGTACGAGTATTATCGTTTCCCCAAGGAGTTGTCTGCACCAAGTAATACACTTTTCGTCTTTAGTTGCCTCAGAGGATTGGGTTTCAAGTGTGTTAACATGCGCGGTGGAGCTATCGAGTGACATTATTTGGGACATTAAACCCATATTAAACCGATGTGGGACATTATTTGCACCTCAACAGTATTCTGATTTCGGGTATGACATTAGCCATGGTGGAGTGTTCATGCACTGTTTAAGAGACGAAAACGCGAAAACATCCCTCTACTTTAGCGCAAAAAATGCACAAGGAAAGACAAACAATTAGGATGAACAATTCACGACGAAACGACGTCGTACGTTCAAATATAAAGGACGACACCGTTTTCAATCAGGAAACATTTACAATTAAGCAACCATTTACAATTAAGCAACCATTTACATGATCCAATAGAGAAATTAAGAAAACATGTGAATATAAGTTTCATAAATGATCAATATATATAAGTGGTTAGATAAGGTTGACGAATAAGGATAACAAATTAATATACGATGAAACGCTGTCGTTTTCAATCACGAAACAGTTATAATTAAGGTGATGTTTGTAAAAGCTAATTTAAACGCAGAAGATAGTGATCGTGAGTTAAGTCAGTTTTAAGTGCTTATTTCTAAAATTGTCATTACAAATAAGCCCGTCAATGGGTACTTATTCATAAAGAGATCCAGACAAAAAACTCATTTACCAATAAGTCCACATATGGTCCAGATTTTTGTAAAAGACTAAAATAGCCCCTCATACTTTAATATGCTCCAATTTCATCATTAACTTAATTTAACCTCAATTTGACCCCAAATTTCACAAATTATTCATTTTTGACCCAAATTTTTTTTTTTCAAAAACAAATTATTTTTCAATTTTTTTTTTTGCGCCGGATTCCGGCGTTGACTTTTCAATTTTTTTTTTCTTCCGGATTTTTTCGCCGGTCTTCGGCGTTGACTTTTTCGATTTTTTTTTCTTGCTGTAGCTTTTTTTTTCGTTTAAACAACAATATTGCTGTGATTGACAGTAATAATAACTATATTACTGTTAAACACAGTAAAATTAACTAAACTACAGTTTAACACAGTATTAAATCTATATTAATCTCTAGCACATTAATATTAACACAACAAAACTCATTATTATTGTGTAATAGAGTAATATTACTATGTTGACTGTTCACCAAATGTAAACATAATAAAAAGCCAAAAGAATTAATATTACTGTGAGTGACAGTAATATTACTATAACAACAGTAATATTGCCGTCAACCACAGTAATATTACAATAATAGAGTTTAATATTATTTACGTTACTCCGTGAATAACTCAAACAAACAAAAAGATCCAAACAAAATAATAATATTGATGTGGTTGACAACAATATTACTATAACAACAGTAATATTACCATCAACCACAGTAATATTACAATAATAGACAGTAATATTATTACGTTACTCCGTGAATAACTCAAACAAAACAAAAAACCCAAAAAAATAATAATATTGATGTTGTTGACAGTAATATAATTGTGTTTACATTTATTTTACTATCAACGACAGTAATATAAATTCGGTGACTTGTCAACTAATCAAACAAAATAAAAAAAAAACAAAAAAAAAAATAATAATATTACGTTAATTTACTGTCAACGGCAAAACAATTACATAAATGTATTGTCAACGGCAGTACAATTACGTTAATTAACTGTCATTGACAGTATAATTACGTTAATTTACTGTCAGTAACAGCACAATTACAGTCAACGTTTAGCGGCGGACGTAAAAAAAAAAAACAAACAAAAAAAACCACTAAAAAAAATCAACGCCGGAAACCGGCGAAAAAAAAAAAAAATCGAAAAGTCAACGCCGGAATCCGGCGGCAAAAGAAATTTGAAAAATTAAGTTTTTGAAAAAAAAAATTGATTAAATTGGGGTTATTGGGTATAAAGGGTTGGGGGTAATATTGGTATATAAAGAAATGTTTCATTTATTTATAATAAATATTAAAGGGATGGGCTTATTGGTGAAAGAGATATAGCCCATAAACCTAGAATAATAAAGATGCTTGGTTGTGGACTTATGCACAAAAACTCATTTCTAAAAATAGAGGGTGTTTGCAAATATTTTGGAAAATGAACTTAAATAGAAAAAACAGGCTCGGGGATGTTTTTAAAAAATAGCTTAAAACAAATTATTTTAAGAGAAGCAAAAGTAAAAATTAATTTTACAAACACCTCAAAAGAGATTATGAGCAAATAAAAGCTCATAATCACCTTCAAAAAACTTCTGCAAACACTACCTAAAACAGTGATTTTCATAATCTAGTACAGAGAGAGAAAAAAAAAGGAAAAAAGAAAAGACACATGATTAGTTTAATAAATGATCAACGGAATTTTTAGTTCTTAGCAACGAAATATTTAAGCGGTCTTAAGATATAAGTCCCTGTTGACAAACTTTATTAGAACTAAACGACAAGTCTAACTAAAATTTGCTTCACATCCTTTATAAATTTTATTCCAGCCATACACAAAAAATAAAATTTGCACTAAGTAATATTTTAAACTGCATTTATCAAAAAAACTCTGCTATATACATTTTAATTTTTGCATCTAATAATTTTGATATTTTTACGTAGAACACGGATTTTTGTTCTTCATTTTAGTATTTTTTTTTCAGTATTATAAAAATCTTTTTTTTTCCCTTTTATTCTACAAAATATTGAATTTTTTTTTTTTTTTTTTTTTGTTTCCGCCATAGTCACCAACAGACATCCATAGGGATTCGTAGTAATCATAGACACCCATAGGAACCCGTAATCGTAGACACCCATAGGATCCCGTAGTAATCGTAATTGTCCATAGTCATTCGTACTCACAATTTAAAAACCCTAATTTTGCCTTTGAACCCTAGCCGCCATCCATCTGTAGACACTCAAAGTAAACCATAGTCATTCGTAGTCACACTCGTAAAAAAAACAAAATCGGAAAAGAAACGAAACCCTAGATCTACAACCATAGCCGCGTTGCCCGCCATAGCCATCGTCTTACCTTTTTTCCCCATAACCACTCCCCACCGTAACCGCATCCACCACCACCCTAACATCCTTCATACTTAACGACTCCATAGCCATGTCGCCAGTCCGTCACCCACGAGAACCGGCTTTATACCCATCGTCACCATAGCCGCTGCTAGGTCCACCACCCATCATAGCAGTTTTCATAACCAAGCCCCACAACCAGAGATCCGCCTCAACCAGCCCAGCCATACCCGCCGTAGCCACCATACCCGCCTCCATAAACAACCCACCATACCCTTCGCCGCCACCTATCACTCAAATCTGAAAAAAAAAATAGAGAAAAGGGGAAGATAGAGAATAAACAACCCACCGGCCACCATACCCTCGGCCGTAGCACTCAAATCTGCCAGAAAAAAAAATAGAGAAAAGGGGGGAGAGAGAGAGAGGGGGATACGGTTGAAACAAGAAGAGAGAAAAGGGGTGGGGTGGGTTGGGCGGCAGAGAAAAAAGAGTGAGAAGAAAAAGAGGAATGAAAAATAAATGTGATTTTTTATTAGTTATATTAAGGGTATTTTCTGGTTAAATAAAAATCAAAGGATGTGGTTCAAATTTTGTTTACGACTAAGGAATTGGTTAAAATATTTTATTTGAGGTTGTCCCCCATATCTAATTAATTTTGATTTGAGGGGTGTCTAACATATTACCCCAATATTTAAATTATTCCAATATATACCCCGTGCAATAGAATATGTTGACGTATGTATATATACTCAATCTTACATATAAAAGAAAGAAACGTTGGACAACCATAAAAAATCCTAATGGTATTTCTGTAATTATTTACTTTTAATATTTTTTTCCTACTAATTTCTAACTATAATTTTTAACAATTATCAAAATTAAAACTAACCCTTGATAAATTCTACCTTATTGGTACTTATGTAATTATTTATTTTCAATACTTTTTCTCTACTAATTTTTTAACTATAATTTTCAACAATTACTAATCTCCTATTTTTCATCAATATATCTCAAATCTTAAGAGATAAAGCTAGAAATTCAATTTGTTAAATCTTAGTCTATTTATTTGGATTATAAATCTTAACATATAAGATTTAAAAAAAAACTAGTGTTATATAAAATATGAGTAATACTACATTATTAAAATTTACTATATTAGTGTAGTATATTTTCTTATTATGTATTAAATTGATTTTTTTTTTCACGATTTAAATAATATCATGTGCATCGCACGGGGAAAATGCTAGTTTCTATAAAGTTAAAATACATAATTACAACAATCGATGCCCCATGCATCGCATTGGTTCAATTACCTTTTTTTATGAGAGAGTGTACAACTACTAGTTAATTATACTATGGCTGCGGCTATGTGCAATACTAATTTCATTTGTGCAAGATTAAATTAAAGAAAGAATCCAAAAGATTCTATTTTATTAAGATGAAATGACAAATATACCCATAAATTAAATTGTTTTTTGTTTGCTTATGCAAGACCAAATAACAAATAATGAAAAAAAAAAGAAAAAAAAAACAAAAAGAAGAAGAAAAAAAACGTGACCACCCCCACCCCCGTGAAACCCTACCCTACGCCCAAGCTCTGCCGCCGACCGCAGTTCTTGATGAAACGTTCTTGATGTCTGAAAAATAATGAATATTGAAATAAAAATTAAATAGAAAATAGAAAGTTAAAAAAAATATGAAACAACTAAAATTCGACATTAAAGTGTCGAATATATGTCCATAAATTCGACACCGTAATGTCGAAATTTAGTATATTTGGACTAATTTGTTAACAGCTAAATTTCGACACTAAGGTGTCAATTTTATACTCCAAAATCGACATCTCAATGTCGATTTTTATCTGTAAAATTCGACATGTACATGTCGACCGCGTCTGCGCGGAATTTTTTTTAGAAAACAAATATGAAACAACTAATTTTCCACATTAAGGTGTCGAATATATGTCCATAAATTCGACACCTTAATGTCGAAAATTAGTATATTTGGACTAATTTGCTAACAGCTAAAATTTCGACACTATGGTGTCGATTTTGTACTCCAAAA